CAACAAAACAGTCTGCTCATAGAATGTTCACAATCATACAGAAATGTTCGTTGTTCATAAGCCCAATTTGAATACCTTGCTTTAAAATATCCCAGTATTAATTGGGACTATGTGTTGTGATAAGTCATGAGAAGCATCATGTTAGAAATGGGTCTGTATTTAAGGATGGACTTCAGGTATTCCCTTTATATACATGGTAAGGTTATTATCATTGGGGTCATTGAATGACCACTAACTTCTCAATTTTAATTTACTGAAAGGTACTGTATAGATCAGTTGTCAATACTGCAAAATGAAAAAAAATCTTTTTTTTTTCTGTGCTGAGGATCAAACTCATGGCTATGTACATAGTAGGCAGGGCTCTACATTGAAATAAATCCTCAGCACTGAAAATTTTCCTAACTTTCTGATTTTGTTTCATGACCTTCATATTGCTCTTCTAAAATTAAAGGTTCAGCCTTCAGTATTTTAAATGAATATAAATCTTAGCGAGTTTAAATCTATGACTTTTGTGGGTTTGTTCTTCACTTTCTGCCGTCACATCTGGTAGACATTTTAAATTTTGTGTTCAAGTTAAATATAAAATGACTGTGCCAAACAAAGAGTTCTTTTGGTTTGAGCATATATGAGTAGTTATGTCCTTTTCCAGTTATTCAGTTATATTCCATACCTTCTGCTGTGGGAAGCTGTGCTGAATACATTACGGTTATTCATAATCTGAGTCAATGCTTGTCTCAATATCATCCAAAAGAAAAATCAGAGGAGCCATTGAGCAAGCCAGCAACATATGACTGATATTATTTATACACATATGCACTTTTTAAAATGCTTGGGCAATAATAATGCATGCATTGCACATGTTTAGGCCAAATACATAATAATAAAGTCATTCTATTTTGTGCATGATTTTTTTTTAACTTGAAGATATTTTTAGAGTAAAATATCATTCTACTGTTCTGCTCTTCCTCTTCCTTCATCCAAACCTTCCAGTATAAATTCTGTTCCCTTTCAAATTCATGGACTCCTTTTCTTTAACAATTGTTACAACCTTAAACTCAACTAAGCTACACATCTTTTACTCTCTTGAAGGACAATAAAAGTAAGAAGAGAGTGAGGAGCATAATGATAAGTAAATTATGATAGGAAAAATATCAGTCATGATCTTATCTGTGACACCTAATATGAATGAGGAGATGATACTGCCATGTTTTAAGTTTACAATAGTTCTACAGGAAGAGTCTGAGATGGAGGGGAGAAACAAAGACTGCATTTACTTTGGGAAAGTAATTGAGTGGTGACCGCTTGTTGGTCATTTTAGTTTTCTTCCTCTTTTAATTTTCATTATAAATGAAGACAATTTACTACCATAGACCCTATAACTTGAGCATGAATGTGGATTAAATTAAAATGTCCTGTACATCTTGAAGATGGTTAGTTAAATTTCTGAGCTTTAGTCTTCTTGGTTATAAATTAAAGAAACATTTATAATATACATTTTTAATATTTTAATAATGGTGCCCCAAGGAAGGAGGATGCTGGGCTGTGAGGGTGGGGTTAGGTGGGAGGGTCAGTGACTGGGGTGGAAGGATGAATGGATGGGGGAATACCCTTTTAGAAGCAAAGGTCATGAGAGAGTAGGGTGAAAAATTCTGGGAGGGGTTACCGGGAGGGGAGGCATATTTGGAATGTAAATAAATAAAATAATTTAATAAAAACAAGTTTAAAAATAATGACTAAATGAATTAACATATCCAAATTCTAAACATGTCCCTGAGCCTATAAAAATAATGAATACATGGTACTTACTTTTATTTAAAATTATAATTTTTTCTTCAAGTCTGCTACTATTGATATTTTTGAAAGATTCTGTTTTCCTGAAATATTAGTCTGATTCATTAAGTATTTTAAAATTTAGAGATGGAATACAAAAGAAACAATTATTGTTTTCTACTGGAACATTTTTATTTTAGAGACTAAAATGCATATCATGAAATAAACACTAAGATTATGTAAGTAAGCTTAATTGGGAGTAGAATTGCATGATTTAGTGAAAGATTTTGTGAACCCATCTCTGCTGAAGATCATTTGAGAATTAACTCAACAACTAATAAAGCTGATTCCACTATACTATATCCTATGTATTGACTTTAAAGCTATGTCATACACACAGATTCATACACACAGATATAAACCATGATATCATACTATTTATTCATTTAAGTTTCATGCTTTGCAAAACATTATTTTAATTATTCAATATAAATTCACCAAGTATTCTAGATCAATAAGATTCATTTTCAATCTTTTAAAACTTTTTTATTGGATATTTAATTTATTTACATTTCAGATGTTATCTTCTTTCCCCATTCCCCTCTCCCCATAAACCTTCTATCCCATCATTCCTCCTCCTTTTTGCTTTTAGACCATTTTAATTTCATGCAAGTATTGAGAGCAATTCTAGGTTGAGGAACTATCAATACAATAGATGCAAATAGTTAAGGAACAAGCAAGACAGTAAACACAAATAGTCAAAGAACAGGCAAGGCAGTAAACAGAGTCCCATGATCACTCCTGTAATCACTATTTCTAAGGGCTTATCAGGATGACCAAGATATCTGAGCCTACTTCCCTGTCTTAGCCCAAAGTCATTTTCATACCTGAAGCCTACTTCTTTGTTCTAGCTGAAGATTTATATTCCTGCCTGAAATTACTTCCTTAATCTAGCTTAGGACTTAGATTCCTTCCTGAAATTACTTCCTTGTTCTAGCCTAATGATAGATTCTTCCCTGTAGCCCATTTCCTTGTTTTTGGCCAATTCCTGCCAGACAGTCCCCAAAGCTCTCCACATTTCCCCCTTTTGTATTGAATAAACAAGACTGAGCCTATCTTAGGTCATTCTGACAAGAATGCCTTCCTTATCCATCATGAAATATACATTATCATGATCATTTTCCATGTCTTAGGTTGGCAAAGCTCTGTGCAGAATCTTACCCGTCCTTGGCTTGCCAGCCTGTTAATTTAATAACTCTGTCTGGAGGGTCCATTTTCAGTTTCAAGTCATGTACTTTGGCTGCCAACTTGTTGACATTGCTAAAAACAAGCTTTCACATGATGAGCAGGAATAAAAGTATTCCCAGGACAAAAAGGGTTAGCATGATCAAGCTATAGATCCCACTCATGAAACTTCATTAGTAACAAATAGCATAATAGGGAACAGCTGACACACATGTTGAAACACTATAAGCAATTCACAAAATCATACATAAGAATTCCATGATGTTAGAATACTTTTATTTATTTCTATGAAGTTAAAAATAAATTTATCTCACAATGAATAACCTTTCATTAATCAACTGATGGAGTGAGTGAAGTATTCATTCATAGATTTTGACAAATGATTAGTTACTGAAAACCATATCCCACAAATCATGAAAACTTTATTATATTCTGTGCATAAGTATTTTTATTACAATAAACAATAATATAAGGAAAATATTATCATCATGTTATTAGAATATTTTTAAATACAGCATATACACATATAAATAAGCATACATACATATTTATGTGCCTCCGGTATGAGTAGCATTATGTATGTGTAGAGGCTCAAAATGGGCAGCAATTTCCTTACTTGATAAGTCTTTACCTTCATATAGCACCTTCACATATTTGAATTTTTATTTTTGTAGTTCTGGATGTCATCCCTGCATTTATGTCCATGCTTGGTGTCCACAGAGACCAGAGAGGAATTGGATCAATTGGAATATAATTATAGAAAATGTTGAGCAACTATGTGGGTGCTAGGGACTGCAGTCAGGCCCTCTGCAAGAGTGGGATGTGATCTTAACTGCTCAGTAATTGGTACAGCTATAATACTTCTTTTGGCCAAGATTTCTCATTGACTTGGTGCTAATACAATAGGTTGGTTTGGCTGAACAAACGTCAGAGCTCTACCTGTATCAGCCACACCAATGTTGGGATTATAAGCATGCCTACAATCATCCCTTATCTCCAAATCTCAGTGTCTAGGAACATGCTGTAGTACCATATGTGAAATGAATATTTTCAAATTTTCAAATTTAAACGAATATATAAATAAGGCTATTAAAAATGCACTTGTGTCTGGCAACAATATGTAAGGTCTCAAAGCTATAAGACAAACCTTACAAGTTCATGGTTCTTAATGAGATGTTCACACACCTGACTCTGTTCTCCATCCTATGGAAGGTAGAGTTCTAAATCAATCTTTATTTGCAATAATCATCATGGATATGATATTCTGCCCAGTTTTTCTTTTTCTCCTCTCTCTCTCTCTCTCTCTCTCTCTCTCTCTCTCTCTCTCTCTCTCCCTCTCTCTCTCTCTCTCACTGCCTCTCTCTCTCATCTCTCTCTCTCTCTTTCTCCCTCTCTCTTTTATTTTGGGTGAAGAGCTTAAACAATTTATAGAAAAGTACCTTAGGATGCAAAAATTCAAGTTTTTTTTTAATTTCAATAAAATTGATCATGGGATCAATTACAATGATAAAATAAATGAAGTTTAAATTAACAATATATTTATGTGAATACATATGAAAAGAAAGAAAAATCTCATTTGCATAAACATTTGGCAGTGAATATCTCTTCTTATAGGTCACATTTCAGATGTTTACTAAAGAGCATTTTGTAGTTGCTAAGAATGAGAAATCTACAGCAGAACCAAACTGCTATTAAGAGCTGAATTTTAATGTTGGCAAAGATTGGATCTATGTTCAGTTAATGCCTCTTTCTATATGATTTACTTTCTTGCTCGTACTTCTGCTGATTTTTTAAAATTTATATTGGCTTCATCTGTGAATATTTTGAATTTTTAACACATTTTTTTCAATTTTGTTTGGTTGATTTTTTTTTTGTCTTTTGTCCTGTTTCTAGTTTTAATCGCTGTATTAAAGTTGACAGTTGTCAAGGCAAAGTTAACTCAAGGGAAAGCTAAGCTTATGTTTCCTTGAAATTTTATGTTTCAGGACTATGCCGAGAAGGAGAACACTATTGCCAAAGCCCTGGAGGATCTGAAGGCAAATTTCTACTGTGAACTCTGTGACAAGCAGTATTATAAGCATCAGGAATTTGACAATCACATTAACTCATATGACCATGCCCACAAGCAGGTAAGAAAAAAATCTAAAATAAACATTTGAAAGCAATTGTCACCGACTGAATTGTTAAGACCATATTAAAAGTTTTATTTTGTTTTGTCCAAGTTATAATTTTAAAGATGTAATTCTGTGATGGTGAATCAAATTTAAAAGACAAAATTCAATGTTGGAAAGAAATGTCTAATATTGAAAATCACAAATAAATGTCTTATATTTTCACATTTGTTTTAAAAGCAATAATCTGCATAAAATGGTCTGCTAAATGTCCTCAAATATATAACATTTTAAAAGATATTTGTTTTTACTATATTATATACAAAACTATAGACTTTTAGTATAAGTAAACTTTTACATATATGGTATTGCACTGCTTAACAATAAGTTACGTGCACTGGAAAATGAATCTTTAGTCATTTTTTAATTATGTAAATTTCTTTAGCATATACTTATACAAGCAAAGACAACTATGAGGTCAATAGGTGATATATTCTTAAATGACTGTCATTGTTGTATGTTCCTTGTACAACTAAGAATCATAATTGTGTTCTTCACAAAAGTGTGTTCTTCAGAAAACTGTCTTGAAATACCATGGGAAAAATGCCTTAGGGTTCTTGATTAGATATGTGCATGATGTGTATATGCCTTAATTTACTAGTGCTTTATACTAATATCAATTATAAAATCAATATTCATTGTTTGCTAAGATCTATAAAGACAAATTTAAATCAGTGACTAAGAAGTGAAGATAACATTGATTTTACTTTCTAATGTGCCTGGTATTTACCATGACATTATTTGTTGTTACTTTAATAATGGAATGTCAGGGTTAGCATCAGTTTATACATATTTTATTTACCAAACGTCACTCACAAAAATCATTCAAACTTAATTTTGATGAAGACAAAAGGAATATGTTTGAACAGATGAAATTCCACCAACTTTTCATTAATATTGGGTTAAAATAGGATGAATTATCCAACACAAAAGGAAAGACAAGGGGCAACTTGTCTCATTAAGTGATTATAAGACAATTATATGCATTGCATTTTACTATCAATGTTCCAGTCTTTTATACTGACTAAATTATGCTCAGAAAAGCTGCAGAAGGAAGAAAGTAACTCTCCAATTTCACACATGACGAATTAATGCATGTTTAGCTTAAGGATCTGTCCTTGGTTTATTTCTTCCCCCCTGTTGCATAAGAGATCTCTGATTCCATAAACAAAGGCAAGAGTTTTGATAGAACAGTCCTTCCTCTTACATCAGAATGAATCTTCTTACATATAAACTGCTGAATTTGAATATTATGACACACAAGCCAATAGTATGATTTCGTGTTCTATTTATTTTCTTAATTTGTCCAGTATTATTTACTTAGCTTTTTGATGTGACACTCAAACTTTCTAGTTCCAAAGTCTTTGTGAATTTAGCATACTAGTTACTCTTTTTAAAAAATTATAGACCTCAATTAAACAAGCAAACACACAAATAAACAAAACCAAAGGTGGGACACAGGATTCTCAGGTTATTTCAACTAAAGGATCCTTGTAACATTCATATGTATAGCTTATCCTAAAGCTTCTATCAATTTTCTTACAAAATGAAGCACACAATATCAATACAGAAATAATACAATATAAAATGCAAACATCAATTAATATATGTATACATATTTCCTCAGTGATTATGAAGAATGTCTTTTTTCCTTTTTTCTATTTTATTATTGAAAATAGTTTCTTTACACGCACACAAACATGCACACAAACACACACACACACACACACACACACACGTACACACACCATATTCTACCCATATAAGCAAAGAGAAATCAGAATGTATTTGGTTTGTCATTTAAAGACCCGTGGTTCCCACTTGACTATAATAAATATTACTAAGCTTTATACACAGGTGTATCATCAAATGCCAAAAATGATGTTAAACAGCATAGTAATAGTTTATTAATTCAGAATGAGTATTGATAGTTCTCTTGATGAGCAAACACTTAGAAAATGATGTAGTATCTGAAACATTTAAATCTATGTTATCTTTATATTACTTTGTTATTAGGCGATGGTACACCAATGACAGTGTCTTCATACAGAGTGATCCTCATCTCTCAACGAAGATATCAGGCCAACCGATGGTTTAAGTAGTATAAAAAAGGGCACAGATTGTCAGTGGAAATTTTTATAAATTTTGTTTTAGCTTCTAAGAACCTGAAGTTGAAATAATATAAACAAAACATAAGATGTCTACTATCTGAGAATATCTGAACCTACTATTGAAAATATAGATCTTAACCCCTGGATAAGTCTATTCAAGAACTAAGAAAGTTGACTTGTGAACTGGACAATTTAAATGTACTAGAGAAATCAATACAAGGGGCTATCAGACAGTTAAATTGTAGAGAACATGGAAAAAGCTATTTGAGGAGGTTCTACGATCTGAGGTTTCTGTTCCTTTGACATTCCTAGGTCATTCTTCAATTCATACAATACAGATAGTCTTAAAATCGTCCCAAAGCTCTCATAATCTTTATTCATTCCTTGTTATTTTTTCTCCTCATGTTCTTTCTAAAAGCTTGGTTATAAGCACATTCTGATCGATATAATATGCTATTATGACTTCAGTTATAGTTTATTATATTATTTATTACATTTTCAGTTCTAGATTTATTTATTTATTTATTTATTTATTTATTATTTTAAACTCCAGTATTTATCTCCCTCTTAGTCCACCCTCTGACTCTTCCATGTGCTATATCTCACCCTATTCTGTCGCCATGAGGATGTCATCCCACCCCCCATCCCACCAGACCTCCCCACTCCCTAGGACCTCCAATGTCTTGAGGATTAAGTGAGTATTCTCTGACTGAATCCAGACTCAGCAGTCCTCTGTTGTATATGTGTTGTGGGCCTCTTATCAGGTGGTGTATGCTGCCTTTTTGGTGGTCCAGTTTTTGAGAGATCTCTGGGGTCCAGGTTAATTGAGACTGCTGATCCTCCTACAGGGTCACCCTCATCCTCAGCTTCTTCCAGCCTTTCCCTAATTCAACCACAGGGGTCAGCAACTTCTGTCCATTGATTGGGTGCAAATATATGCATCTGAAAAATGATGCATCTGATCTCTTTCAGCTGCTTGTTGAGTCTTCTGGAGGACAGTCATGATAAGACTCTTTTTGTGAGTGTTCCATAGCCTAAGTAATAGTGTCAGTCTTTGGGGCCTCCCCTTGAGCTTGATCCCACTTTAGGCCTGTGGTGAACCTTCTTTTCTTCAGACTCCTCTCTGTTTCTATCCCTGCAGTTTTTTTCAGAAAGGAACAATTATGAGTCAGAATTTTCACTGTGGAATGGCAACCACATCCCTCACTTGATGCCCTGACTTTCTGCTGGAGGTGGGCTCTACAAGTTCCCTTTCCCCACTGTAGGGCATCTAATTTAAGGTCCCTCCTTTTGTGTCCTGTGAGTCTCTCACCTCCCAGGTCTCTGGTATATTCTGGAGGGTACCCACAACCTCCTACCTCTTGAGATTGCCTGTTTCCATTCTTTCTGCTGGATCTCAGGGATTGAGTCCTTTAAAAAATTATGTTTACCACTTGAAATTTCTCTGTTAAAATTCTGATTATTTCTATTTATTTTTCCATGTCATTTAACTTCTTTAAAACCATTATTTTAATTATATTTCAAAATTATTTCATACACCTTGTTGTCTCTTTGGCTGCTGCTATTGTGTCTTTCCTTCTTGATGTAGTCATTATTTCCTGAATGATCTTTCTTCTGTATAGTTTGTGAAATCATCTCAACATTGAACTATTTGGTATTTATTCCTTTCTCTACAATCTGATTTTCTTTGTGCCTGGCCTTCCAAAAATTCCAAGTACCCTGCTTATTTTCTTTTAGGCTGAATCATGTCTCTATTTTGGTACAGAATCGTTAAGTCCAAATTTTCCACAACTGTGCTATTGATCTGTTCATTCTGGAAGACAATAAAAGGTTAAATATGAATCCAATACACAATTGAATGTTATTCCCTATTAGACTGGAAGTACCTAGTAAGTGGATTCTATCCCCATAGCTTACTTCCTGTGGTATTGTTACATTGTGTTCTTTACTCATTTATTAGCCTATGGTCTGCAATACAGAATTTAATTCATGATAGCACTGGGAAGATAAACAATAGAAAGACCTTCCCCTGACTCTTATTTCATACCTGTAGTCACTTGGGCCGAAAGGGCTATCACTTCATGGGGCAAGAGTTTCTGGAGCCCATTGCAACACTGGATCAGACTATGTCCCAAATGTATTAGGAGGCATAATGATAGGAAGAGTTAAGTCACAATACCACTGCAAGAATGCAAATGGAATAGGGAGGTTTTTCCTACCTTTCCCCAAAAAATTGTACTGGAAGCTCCATCCTTAAGCTGTGGTCCTTAGGGAGATTGTACTCACTGAGATCTGGTAGTGTTATTTTTCACCAATGGCACTGAGTGCCAAGACACTGTCCTGTGCCTACCACCCTGTTTTCCTATAAAATCAATCTTGCTCCCCATTGCACTGTCTACATGTGAGATAGATTTCTTTGAGGAATTTTCTTTGATCTGAAAGACAGATAGATTATTCTGTCCTTGAGGCTCACAGACACAAGTATCCAAACAGTATCAGAGGTGCATGGTTATCATGAAGCTGGTAGAATACAGTCTATGTCCACTTCACAGTGTTATACCTTTGCCTCTTGGAAGAACTAGTCATTAAAATTCAATTGTAACCAATTGTCTGTGAGTTGTTGTGATACCTGAGACAATGGGACAGTAGGTATAGATAGTACATATACATACATCAGCAAGTCTGATGAGGGCCTAGTTCATAGATAGCTCATGAAGAAATCTACAACAAAGAGACCTGCACTACACTGTAGTGATTGGTATGCTATGCTCCAGATCTATGTAAAACTGGCAGTGATCTACCTTGCATCAGTTTATACCATACAGGTTTCTCTCTCTGATGCCTTAA